GCAACTGGCAGGCAGCGGAGGCCGATCCCTGATAGGACAGAGACGTAGTTGTCAGGCATCACTGGTAGGGCTTCCACAAGGTAGGTGGGTTTTATATGCACAGAGAGACCAGGTGGAGATGTAGAAATATAGATCTCTATATATGTAATGCAGAGAAAATGAATGGCAATGAACTTGACTGAGAGGTATCCTCAGGGTCGCAAGGTCATCAGCGACATCTCTGGGTGGGGTGTTCCACATCCAGGAAAATGTCCCCAACGGAAATTACACTTGAGTTTAAGAGCCAGAGGAGGGTTGGGATGTAGCTCAGTGGCAAAGCGTCTGCCTTGCATTCACCAAGCCCTGGGTTCGACCCTAGTTCCCCCCCCCCAAAAAAAAAAGACAAAAAAAAAAAAGAGCCAGAGGAAAGAAAACAATGGATTTTCCACTGCTGTAGTTGAGAATGTCGCCTGCGGGTCCCAGCTGGAGCCTAGTCTGCCAGCCGAGTTGGGAGTCTTTAGGAGAGAAGGTCCGGAGAGGCCCAAGACCTCACCCACCCGGGACTTGGGAACCAGGGAGGTGAGAGGCTGCGGGTGCTAGGCAGAGCGGGGTAAAGAAATAGGACAGTAGCCTCCAGGAAATCTCAGAGCCGGTAGCAATCGAGAGCGCGGCTCCAGTCTATAGCTAGGGGCTACTTTGGCTACGAAGGGCAAGACCACCGCTGGGTACCCAGTGGGGTAGGCGCCAGTGGCCTTGGGGGCTGCCAGAGGTGGTCAGAGGGCCACTATAGAGATCCGCGAGGAACTCAGTGGCAATCACCGGGGGAGCTACCGGGCCAGGATGCGCAAAGAGTTGCAATGAGGGAGACGAAGGATGAAAGCAGCCCAGGCTAGACCCTGGGAAGGCGGTGCAGAAGCGAAGAGAAAGCACCACACCTGTTCCTCCTCTGTTTCACACTTTGAGAGAGTGTCCCTGCAGGAGGTCGCCGGGGCAGCCCAAGTGCGGCCAGTGTTTTGATCCGAAACCCCTTCCATCGGGCTGCTCCTCCCTTTGCCCCAACAGTGCTAGGCGGCCTCTGAAGTCCTCAGTATCTGGGCTCTGGGGCTTCCTCTGAACGGTGGGCGCTCGCTTGAGTGGTGAAAAGTGCCTTGTTTCAAAATTGCCAATATCTAAGAAATACGTGACACTCTGAGTCTGCCAAGAGCAAAGGCCAGGCTTCAGCCTCCAGGACCCAGGTAGCAGGGCCAACAGGTGGGATCAGACCCTCAGGTTCTGACAAGTGTGGGGTCCGACTCCCTCCACCTGTATGTATACAACCACCGTGCACTTATGTCGACATTTTCCGGACGAAAACCCATTCCCTAAACCCCGGAAATTAGGGTTCACCACCAGAGGCGGGAGGTAGCCCACTGTCGTATCAAACACTAACTTTTCCCTGCGCCCCACTGAAAGGAGAAAGGCAGCCCAAATGGGCAGCTGCTGTCAGGCTCGTCCTGGCCTGGGACTGGTACACCCAGGACAGGTACAGTGCGGGCTCTTTCACAGAGCCTCTCCCACTTTTCCTCACTACAGCCAATGAGTTCACTTCCTGAGCTTGGGATGGGGGAGCTACTAGAGGAAATGTGAAGTGAGGCCTGCCAAAAGAGGAGGAGAAAATTAATTAATGAGGGAAAGAAATGTGTCTCTGATCCAGATGATAGACTCCCTGTCCCTGGGGGCGGAAATTCCTTGGAAATCAATAGCTGTGCATTCATTATCCCTCTCTTGATAAAATGCAAAGCTATGAGATGGTGTGTGGGGGAGGAGGGAGATCTGTGTGGGTCATTAAACAAGAAGGTGGGGGGAAATTGCCCAGGAATCTATGCCAAGGCTTAGACCCCATGTGGGCATCATTAGCACAGGCAGGGGCCAACTAGTTACAGCAGTTGCCAAGCCAGGAAAACAAAGCAGTGACATATGGGTGAGCTGAGTCCAGGCCGGAAACCCTTTCCTTTTACCCATCATAAGTAAAAACCCACCAGTGTGCCTCACTCTTTAGACTGGAGTTGAGGTCCAGGAATATGCAAGATAACTTTTCAAGCATCACTTTGCATTTCTGTTCAACTCCCTCTCATCGCATCTATTAACTTGTACCTTAAATGCCTTTCTTCTGTAGCTTCCTCATGCTCATGGACTGTCACCTCCTGGAGGATGGGTACCCTTAATTTATACCTCTTATCTCTAATGTCTTGCCTAGACTAAGGTTCAGCAAGAATTTGAGGAAGATAAGGTTGAAAGTAAATGAGGAAAGGTGAAACAATTGGTCTCAGAAAAACAACAGGCTGGAATAAAAATTTACATCTCTGGGGCACACCTCTCCTGCCCAGTCTCCAGCTCCTTTATTTTGGTGGGTCATACTGGGGATTAAACTCAAGGACACTGAGCCACTGCTCCAACTCCTTTTGAAAGAGACCCAATCAAGGAGCTTCTCACAAAACCCACTCAGCCCTTGCTTGTTGAACTCTCCCTGCCTTTTCTTCCTTGTTTTCCCCGACTGACCTCTCTTCTTTCCTAAACTCGTTTATTGCTTGATAGAACTCTTTTACAGCTGCCTTGGTGGAAAAACACATGTGGCCAGGTGGGCTTCCCATCCATGGGAGAAGGAAAAGAAAGGATTGTACCCAGTCCTCATATTTCCCCTCAAAAAGAGGAGATAGGTCTGGCCTCACCCAAAGGTGGGAAGGTACTCCAGTTGTCCAGAGGGAGGTGAGTTAGGAAAGGAGTGGTAGTGGGATAGTGAACTCCTGATTTCATCAGGCAGACTATACTTCAGCTGGGTTTACTAAAGGCCTCCCAGGGTCAGAGGGGTAAATCAAGGTTCACCTGGGGGTATTTAGGGACTCCCTATCTGTGGACCTACCTGGCCACAAACCCATGCTTGTTTGCTTTTCTGTCTGCCCTGCACCCTTGGGGGTCCCTAAAGGCCAACTTTTCTGGGGTGGGGTGAGGGGTGGGGTGAAGGGTGGGATTGGGGCGGGGGAAGGGGATGAATGTGGGGTGGGGTGGAAAACGTGCTGCAGGAACCAGCCCCCAGTCAGGGGTAGGGAGGGGCCCTTTCTTACCCACCACAGGAAAGAATTGGGATCTATCAGGACGGATGTCAGGAAGGATTAGGTTAAAGTCTGGACACCTGGAGTGACTATGACCATTGGACTCACTTTTTCCCTCCAGCGACGTCTGCTCATCGTCCATTCCCTGTTGAGGTAAAGTTGCATTTAGCGCTCCTAGGGGACTGCATAATGGATGGAGCAGTGGCTCCTTCTCACACCAGCAAGTGAACATTCTTCTTACTTCCCTTGCGGGCTAGAAGGAAGGTAGGGGGTGGGAGAACGGAAAAGAAAAGAAAGAAAAAGCCATGGTGACTTCTGTGGGCTCTTCTTGGACTCTGAATAGGTGAGTGGGTATGCTAAATGCATGTACATGCATTTATGCAAGGAAAGAAAATCCACAGAAATGCTCATTTAGGTCTACAGAAATGAGATCTGCTCTTTGGTGGAAATACAGACTTCCTTGGTGTGTGAGAGACTTGAAAGATTATTTATCTCATCTAGTTTCCCATAAGTAGCCCCTTGCTGCTTCCAGTTCTCTTGTGGCAGATATGATAACATCTGGGCAGTTATTATCACCTCGGGCAAGTGCTGTGTCCCTAGGGACTTGGACACCTGAACTGCAGCTCCTCTTGATCTGCCTGCCACATGAGGGCCATATAACAGTTTGGCTAATTGATTTATTCTTCTTAGGTCTTGATTTTGCAGAATTAATAGTTTGAAGCATGCTTTCCTATACGTTAGCTTTCTTCTGTCTCCTATTGAAGAAAAATATATAAGAGGCAAAGAAACAAAAGGATGGAAAAGAAAGTTCTTTTTTTTCACATTGTAGTCCCTTTTCTCTGAAGCACTTTTCTTTTCCAGGAGTTTCCAGCATAAAATGTGAGTGAATGAGTGTGTGCGAGTGTGTGTGTGTGTGTGTGTG